TAAATGAAAATATGACACTAAATAGGACGAAATGGAGAAAAAGGATTCATGTAGCCAACCCCACGTAGTGGAATTAAGGCTTTGTTGTTGTTTGTTTTGTTTGTTATATAAATTGATAGGTGCAATGCTAGGATGTTGGAGTGGTTATGGGAGATATAAGCTTGCCCTTCTGAGTAGTGATTAGTGACTCTAAGAGATTGTTTTTGTTGGAGGTCTAGCCGTGTAAATCTTTAGAAGATTTCACCATTGGAACTTAGATTAAATGTAATTGAATTCCAGATTGTTGAATTTCAATGCCCTTCATTGTTTGAGTTATAAAAGTTCCCAGAGATTATCAATAATTGTACTTAGTATTCTATGAATAAACTACAAGAATGACAAAAAAGAGACTCTTTGACAATTAATAACCATTGAATCAATATTTTTTTCCTTCTATGGAAAGAAGACTTCTTCATGAAACCAATGCAAGCGAAATTACATTATTCAATCTTAAATTGAACTTTTGACAATTCTTTCAAAAACAATGAGTGGATTAAAATGGTTTTTTAACAAGTTGGAAGGCCTGGCCACTGCCAACCTAATCTAAGACGGTTGTTTATTGAACTAGGGATGCTTACTCCTTGCATAATCACTAATTTAAGATATATATGTTGATGCATCTAATGACAGTAACGAGAATGTATTTCCTAACTACAATCTTGTCCAATGTGTTGACATGAATGATATTTCAAGATTGCATTAAGGAATAGTGGACTAAGAACAACAAGTATTTACAAAGGTACAGGGAGCAAACAAATCACATGAAAACCCAAAATACCACAACAAGAAAGGAGAAAAAGAATCACTAACCATGCTGCCCCTGGATCGAACCTTCCTTAGGAGCGTAGCGGAAGGATGAGAAGGATGGGAGTTTCGATGGTGCCGCGATCCCGTCGTTTCCTTCCCAGGCACCGGCGATGGTTGCGAGCGAAACCGTGATGGGGAGCGAGATAAGCGACTAAAGGAGACGGAAATTCGGGCGAAACTAGGGTTTTCGGCGAAAGGAAGTGAATAAATAGTGATTAATTTAATTTATTAATGATTAATTATTATTTTATATAATATTAAATTAATTATAAATAAATGATATTTGATGAGTAAAAATGTCTTTCACTATATCAATTAAGAACTTATAAAAATGATATATAAAACTTGCAACTTATACTTTTTTATTTTTAAATACCAATGAAATTTAGATATAAATTTTTTAAGAAATCTTTTTTTTTTTAAATTATACTTTTTGGATCTCCCGTTAAACTTATAAAAATAACGATGTTGGACAACAATTTACTTTATATACTATTTATAAACAACATTACTGTAAATGGGCAAAATAGTCACTTATATAGAAACAGCTACAAATTAACTGTTTTCAAACAACACAAACCAAACAGTTAGTCAGTTTATCTAGATAAGCTGTTGATCAGCAGCTTATTAGGATCAGCTATTTATCAGAATCAGTTGCTTACAACAGATTATTCAATAAGTTACAGCTGTCTTAAACAAACCCTAAGTTGCTCAAAACATGCGTGTTCGACGGTGAAAAAGTAAAAAAGAAATTTTGGGAGCTTAGTACGGAATAAACAAATCCAGCCCGCCCACATAAGACCCGACCTGAAAAGAAAATCTCAAAATAAAATTTTGGGCAACGCTCGTTTGAGTATCACAACCAACAAACAAGTCACTCTCTTAACGAGTAGGACTGAAGAACGGAACAATCATAATGGGTGCCTAAAAGGGTGAACCACATCACGCAAATGAGTGTAAGGATATTATGTGTAACATGACACACAAATGGGATGTACCGATAAGAAAAGGAAGAGGAATTACGCCTGCTTGGGGACCCAAGACGTCATGCGACCAGCAGACACCGGCTATAAATGAGTATGCATATAGTAAAATGATACCTATAAAAGAATTCACATCTTACCTGAGAGACACTCACCAAGCACACATGCAAACATACAGAATATGCAACAAGCATATGAGGGAGTGCACCAAAAGTGGTGAGGGTGAATATACCATGAGACAGTGACTCGGAAAAGACGGGTATGTCGTGGCGGCAGCAACCCAAAGAATGGGTATGTCATGATTGCAATGACTCGATGATAGGGCAGTGACCCAAAGGTGGGCATATCATGGCGGCAGCGACCCAGACAAAAGGGTATGCTGAGGGGATAGTGAACTGGAGGTGGGCATGTCATAGCGGCGGCGGTCCAAATAAAAGGATATGTCGAGGAGGCAGTGACCGGAAAGTGTAGCTCAAGCAATTCATAATGATCATGCAAGTAAACATATAGGAGATGATGCAACTTGCAAGCTGACAAACATGCACATGACATACTCCACAAGCAATGATGCAAGTGTAGTTGGTCGACTGGGTCGGGGTAGCCGATTGAACCAAAATGTTGTGTCAACTAGGGCGGGACGGTTGGGGCGTGGCAAAAGCAGAGTGGATTGGACCAAGAAGGCCGATCGAGGCACGAGTCGTGTCGATCGATGTGCGACGATTGATCGAGACACAAGTAGTGTCGATCGGTCTAGGACGACCGATCAAAGCACAAGTGGTGTTGATTGGTCCGGGACAACTGATCAAGGCACGAGTGATGTCGAACATGTCGGGGACGACCGATCGAGGCACAAGTGCAAGCGCAAGTGCAAGTGCAAGGTGTTCCATGTAAGACACACATGACACAATCCAAAGCAAATGACCGCATGCAATAGCGAGTCATGCTCGGGCTACATATCTCACATATGAAACATAAGATTTTAGCACTTGGATGTGTGGCATTGCCGCCTCCTGCTTTGATGAGGCACGTGGGGAGTTTCTCCCAAGATTTCTGAGGGGGAAGCTCTCCACACCGTCATTAAATGGGCTAGCTAACAAGTTTTTTCCAATTTTGCAGTGTCTAGGTTTTGCAATATGAGCTAGCTACAAAGCTTTTCTTACTTTGCAAAAGTCAACCTCCCAATTTCTCCAAGTAAAATTCAAGCATTCAAAGCAAGGGGAGTAAGGGGATCCAACTCATTAAGACTTGTGTTAGAATTCAGAAAAAAATGTAAATACTCGGCTCTACAGGGTGTTTGGTCATGCATGAAATCCTACCCTAGGGCTTTCTCTAAAGAAAGCGATGATCCATAACATAAGCAGTCGAGCCTGCTGGCGCACGCCCCCCGTGCGGACAATAAAACTGCACGCCTGCCACAACTAAAACCTAGAGCTAGCTATGGAAAGAAATGCAAAAGGAGAGAATCTCGCCACCGTGGTGTTTGCTCAACGTCCATTGGAGCATAGGAAGAGGCTTTTCTAATGGGTAGGAAAGAAGCCCACGAATCCTTCCTGAAGCTATAAAGAAGTTCTCCTCACCAGAGAGTTCGTCGGAGTTGCCATCTCCAAGCTAGGATGACGCTTTCTTAGGCGTGCTCCTTGGAAACTTAACTGAAGTTGAAGAAGACAGCGACACAAGAAGAAAAAGGGTGGAGAATGACCAACCCTTAGTTTTCTCCTTGAAGAAACCCTCAAAACTTCAAGCCCCCAAGGAAGAAGAAGAACTTCAAGGAGAAGAAGAAAAAGAGAAGAGGGAAAAGTAGGAAAATGGAGAAGAAGAAGTGGAGGAAAAACCTTCCGCTCTTCAAAATCTCTCCCAAGCTCCCCTGCACTCCTTCGACTTCCCCTAGCAAAATGGTGTCCATCCCGTATGAATTGGAGAGGTTGCTCTATTAAGCCAACCAAGCACCTCTAAAATGACCAAAAAAGCCCACACTAAATGCCCAACAAGCTTTCTATGAAAATGAGGGCAAAATGTACTTTCACACCACCTTTTCCCGCTCCCCAGGCTCATGATCGAAATTTCTATGAAAACGATGGCTTTGGGAGTCGAAACGGCGTAAAAAATGGCCCGAAATTGCAACCTGGAACTAGAGTGGTGCCTAAGCACCACTCACCATGGCGCCAAGGCCCCAACCAACATATTGGCGCCTTGGCGCCGCCCAGGCTCCACCTAGGGGCAAATTCTCAGGAAAACTGTGATTTGTGGCCTGTTTAGGGACTTGACGCCCCATTTCTTCGGGCCTAGGCGTCGGGTTTTTTGTCAAATTTTCAAATCATGTTTTAGACCTCCTAAGGCTCAGGTTCAGCTGTCCGAAAAGGTATTTTGCGTGTGTCGGTGATCCCGATGCTAGAGTTGTGCAACATTTATAAAGTTGGTTCTGTTTTTCAACGGTGTCAAAAACTTGATGCATTATTTTATGAATAAGAAATTTAAGCAATATATGTAGATATTCTACGCAAGTATACGTATCGTTATCAAGTCATACATGACTTTCTGTTTAAGCCCCAAATATCGATCCCACGATGAAGGTTTAAATTTGAAGTGATAAATTAACTAGGAAATTCACAACAATAAAATAAAATTACTGTCACTAATTTTGAATATTTGATGTACTATCAAAACTAAATTATTAATTACTAGTAAAGCTCAAATGCAAAGTTTAAACAGTAACTATCAAACTATATTTATGTGATAAAGTTATCAAATATGAAAAAAACATCTTTCTCACTACAATTATTTTTTGATAAAATGAGATGAGATAAATGGTTTAAATATGTATTCTGCCAAATATGAACAATTTTAATTCTCTACCCCGATTCAGTGTTATAGAGAATCATTAGTTAATCTCAGGTTTAGTCCCTAAATCCGTGGTTATACTGAGAGGATACCGCTCTCACTCCAGAGCTCCCACTTCCCTTTCCCTAAAGGCTAACGCTCGTTTTAGTTCTTAAACACAGGCCAAATTGGAAATTTTAGTCTCTCACCCTAGAATCACCAATTCTTCGCCCGATAATATATATTTCCCTATTTATTTGTGCCCAATTCCATGAATGAAACACTCCTTCATGGAATCGAATGTGATTATCACTTTGTTGTAAAACTCATACTCTATTTCCCGAATAGTATGTTTCACAACATATGTTAACATTTCAATTGACCAAATCGAAAATTAAATTAAGAAAGGAGTAAAAAATAATCACAATTTATTTTATATTTTAAAATTAGCACATCCAAATTATCTCTTCATTTTATCACATCTCAGAGTAAGGAAAAAGACAAAGAAAACTACTCAGACCTCATGAAGAAGATACAACAAAATACAAATTTCATAAATAAAAGAAAGTTTATACAACAATAGAAAACAAACACTATTTATCTTTAACTCTTCCTCAAAGTTGTAGCCTCTCTTGGACTCTTTCTCTTTTTACAATACTTTTGATTCTCTCTTAGAAGATATAAGAAGAAGAAATCTCTCACTTCTCTCTCTCTCTAACAACTTAGAAAAAAATTCACATTTAAACTCACCACAAAAACTCAATTCTTTAAAAAAATAAATGACTAATGGACTTTTAGTGGTTGGGGGAGTGGAAGAAAGAGTTTTCTGATCAATTTTCGCCCTAAATAGAGCTTAATGTCGTTTTTCCAATAGGTGCATCCAAAAACTCTTCAAAAAGCGTCTGAATTCGTCGAATCTTTTAGAAACAGATCTTGCACCAACATTGGTGTTGTCGGCACCAGTGGCCCATGAATTAATTCTGTGCTCTCTTTCAAATGGCGTCGTTGGCGCTGCTCCTGGTGTCGTCTTTGTTAAGTTACGCCATCAACACTGAGTATATTCTGGCCTCTGTTCTGTAGGTATGCGCCATCGGCGTCCATTCCGTCGCCGTCAGCGCTGAGTATTTCTTCAAAAATATCATTTTGACTCCAAATTCCATCTTTTTTTCTTTCTTTTTGCTTCAAGTCTTAAAAATCAACAATCTGCAATAAAACATGAAAAATATCTTTCTTTAAAGCCCAATATCACCAAAAATGAGTATAAAATATAGGTCTAAATATGCATATATTTTTATGTATCAAAATCTCCTAAACTTAAATGTTATTTGTCCTCAAGCAACTCCTTTACTACATAAAAATATGACTCATGACAAAAAAA